AGCCATTTCCATTATCGTCTGTAAACATGGCAGAAAGCTGTTTCGTAGAGGGATACTTTGCTGCATATGCAACAGCATAGAATGGTTTTTTATACTTAGACTCACTTTTATCGTCTTTGTTAAGGTGTTATCCACATGCCGTTTTAGAGCTTTTGGGATTTGTTAAGAATCGTTCAAAAATATGTTTGATAAATTCTTTTCCAGAATGAGGACACGCCGCAAGTGACAAACGCAACTTCTGAAGAAATGAGAGATAGTGTGGAGGAAGAGTCTCCAGAAAAGCAAGAAAAGACGCCAGAGGAGATGGCCCGTCTCAAGCGACAGTCAGTTTTGCCTAGACTATGGCTGTCAGGGAGCATACAGTGAAATTGTGTATTCAGTTATGTTCTTATGGAGTTGGTGGAGACTGAAAAGGATTACGTCAGAGACCTCGCTTCTGTTGTTGAGGGTTATATTGCAAATCTGGAACGGATGGGCTTACCCGATGATCTTATCGGAAAGGATAAAATCATATTTGCGAACATTGCACAAATACTGGAATTTCATAAGAAGTAAACCTCTCAGAATATTATCTTTATTTGTTTAGTTAAGTGTCTTTAACCGCAATCTTATCTTTTCAGCATATTTTTGAAGGAAATTGAAAAGTGCCTCGATAATTACGAAGTTGCCGGAAGTGCCTTTGTCAAATATGTGAGTATCACTTTGCAATCAACCGTCTATTATTAGCTTGAGCATTTATCGTCATTATAAAAAATTGGAATGCTCATAACAAGCATTGTCTGATATTCTTACCTTTGCGATATCTTAATCTAGCTTTTCTAGTAGTTTACATTACAGAAAGGAAGACTGGAAACAATGTATGTTCGATATTGCCAAAATAAGCCAAAATCGGATTATCTTGTGTCGCAAGAGGACTTTGAACAGGTGCGTTTTTTAGGTAATCTTTGCTAGAGGGCAGCACACATTTGTTGCAAAACTGCTTTTCTCAACTTAAAAGTGACTGGAGGTAAATCGCACTGATTAGTTACCAATCTAACATAAGTTGTTTTGGAACAGACCTTTTTTCTGTACAGATATTCAGTGAGTCGAAAGATATGTCATAGGTATTGTCATAAACTGTTCTTGTCAAATCGTATTTGCAGCATTTTCACAGATTTGGATGAATTTTAGTTTTTTGCCGAGACGAAAGCGAAACTAGGACATAAGGTGGCGTTGAGCGATCTACTCATAAAGCCTGTGCAGCGCATTATGAAATATCAGTTGCTTTTGAAAGATATTCTCAAATTTACTGAAAGAGCCAAGGAGAAGACGGATATACTTAAAAAAGCTTTGGCGGTAGGTGTCTTTCTATCCGTTTTTACCGAACATTGGAATGAATGCTTTAACTGTGCAGGTTATGCATGTTGTGCCAAAAGCTTGCGACGATATGATGCAGGTCGGTAGACTGCAGAATTTCGATGGAAATCTTAATGCGCAAGGGAAACTCATCTATCAGGTTCGTTCTCAAAATGTTTCATCTTGTTCACTAAATGACTAGCTATCACAGGGTACTCTTCCTATATCTGACAGTCAAGCTGGAACATCTCAAAAATCGAAGGATCGTCGAATCTTCTTATTCGAGCAGTCGGTTATCATTGCTGATCATATACCACCCAAGAAGGAGTTTGGAAATCCCATATACATCTTCAAAAACCAGATTATGGTTAGTCTCAAACTTTTGCCGTCAAGGGGTCTCGAGAGAGGAAAAATTACTTCTAGGTAAATAAAATGCTCTTTGAACCATCCATAGCTGACGACCCTCTGAAGTTCATCATCCGCAGCTCGGACCCAGCCCAGCCAACAGCGTTCATTGCCACTGCTCAAACACAGGATGAGAAGGTCTGTTTGCAGTTGTTTTCACAAGGAAATCGTAACAAGTATCAACTGTTTAGAATGAGTGGGTTCGATATAT